GGCGATGTCGGGGCGCTGGATGAGCAGCCACGTGTGCCCAAAGTAGAGGAAGAAGGCCAGGAACGCGTACGTGTGGATCGCCGGCAGCCTCGCCAGGATCGAGTACGCGAGCTGCTCCTGCCCGCAGCACACGGGCTCCTCCTCCTCCCTGTACCCGTCGTTGACCAGCCCCGACGCTTTGCCTCGCTCCACAGACTCGCGGAGGCTGATCCCCGGAGCAGGCGACTCGGCAGCTCGGTTGATGATGTCAGGAGCAGTGACGGAGACGATGCTTGCTCCCCCCAGGAGGGGCGTGCGCTCCGAGACCGCACCCTTACTCTCCATGGCGGGATAACTGTTTAGACAAGGAGGGGAGATTCCTGTTGTTTCTGAGTCAGCGATGGTGACAAATTTGTTGGAGAGTTTGTTGATGTTCGCTGGTTGTGTTGTTTGTGATGTGGTTAGTTTTGTTCCAGTTTGGTGTGTTGTTTTGCTAGCATTTGACTTCATGGTATATCCCTCTCTTCTTTCAACTGTCTGAGGATGTCTTGTTGTTTTGTTTGTATGCCAACATGAGACATGTTTCTTCAAAGTTTGTTCAGTTTTTGTGTGCAGGGCACTGGTGTGAATATTGCAAGTTTGTTGTTGTTTGTATCAGAGATCGGCAAAGATCTTGTTCAACTGCCTTCGGTATGACAAACAAACACGGACATGTGCTGTGTCATCATCATTGCTCAGCGCGTGTGTTGTGTGTGACCCCCATCCTCTTTGTGTGTCACAATCTTCAACATTGCAAGTGTGGACAACGTTGTTGTTTTGTGTTTGTTTGTCGGTGGCACTTGTTGTGACTTGTCTTGTGTCATAGCACGTCATCTTGTGTGTCTCCTTTCATGTGACACTTGTGTTGTGTTATGTATGATGTGTCTGTCTCAAGACAGGAGGTGCTCATCGAGCGGCCCCCGCCCCCGACTCGCTCGACAGCACCTGTTCCTCCTACTGACAAGATGTGAGATCTAATGACACAAGCAACGACAACAGCGACAGCAAGCTCCGACTGTCGTCAACATCATAGGCTTCAGCTTGTTCTCCTCAGCCAGCCGCGGCTTTGATCTGCTTGCACGCTCGGCTGGTCTTGCGTCGGCTGACTGGAGCAAGGAGAGGAGTTGCTCTAAACTTGACGGTCCTTCTCCTGCACCTCACCAGGAAGACGATCGCCCTGCCTTCATGTGTCAGGGGCTGCCCACCACGACATGCTGCCAGGGCTCGCACCTGCTTCGCGCTCGGCACGTAGTTGAAGTTGGACGAGATAAACATCTTCGTGTGCGCGTGTACCTGCACAGCCCCGCTCACTCTCCTTCCTCCTTCCTCGCTTCAGCTCTCTTCCGGACTACCTTGCCCCTGCACCTCTTCCTCCATTGAGCTCTCTTTCCCTCCCCCTCCTGTATCTCCCATCTTCCCTCCCTCCCTCCTCCCCCTTCCTCACCGTCGGCACGATGAACAGAAAGATGTCGGCGAAGGGGAACATGATCAAAGACGCCCAGCGGGGAGGGCCGTTCGCCCAGAAGCCCTCGGTCACGTTGTAGTGGCTCCTGTTCTTGAGGATCTCGTTGCGCAGTCGATGGTCCATGTAGCAGAGGAACATGAAATGAAGACTGACGTGGAAGAGCCAGAGCCAGGACAGGATGACCTGACCAACTCGTCATCCTCCTCGAACCCTCCTCATTGCCAGCCCCTCCATCTCCTGACTCGTTCTGTCTCAATCCTCATCCTCACCTGGAGCGCGACGATCATCTCAGCTCCTGTCCACATGTCGAGGTCCAGCATGACCTGTTCTCTCCCCGTCAGTCCTGCACTTCTGCGATCGACACTAGAGGCAGCTTACCGGGATCTTCCCGTACAGGAATGGAGAGGCCATGATGCTGATCACGAGTGCAACGGTGAGGAGGTGATGGTCGTATGCGCACAGCAGCAGGCTCAGTCTCTTGTGCAGGGGAACATCCCAGCGGCTGGACGACTGGACCATGAGATAGCCGACGTCCGTTGCTCCCCACTGCCACCTGCACCCTCCTCGATCAGCTCCTCTTCCCTCTCTTCACCTTTCCCTTGCTTCCCTTCTCCCCTCCACCATCCTTCCCTCCTCTAGAGTTCCATCCCTTGATCCCCTCTGTCTTCTTCTCCCTCCTCCTCCATCTTCTTCTCCCTCCTGCTACTGTTGCTGCTCCCCTTCCCCTCCTCATCCTCCTCCTCCTCCTCACCGCACGGACTGGTCGTAGCACTCCTTCACCGTGTCCACGTAGTTCTTTCCTTCTACCGCCTCAGTCCCCACCAGGATCATCAGCCGAGTCACTTCCACCTGCATCAGCCGAGTCACTTCCACCCGCGTCTTCTCTCCCTTCTTCCCCCTTCTCCTCTCACCTTCCCCTGGTCCGCCATCGAGCAGCGGAAGTACATGTGCCAGTCCTCTGGTATCACCGTCGGGTCCCAGAACTTCGCCTGCCCCACATCTGCCGTCACCCTCCATCTTCCCTTCCCTCCAGCTCTCCGCCAGCATCGTGCTGACCTGCTTCGCCAGCGGCAGCGACAGCGAGTAGATGGCGATGGGGAACGGATTCGTCACAGGGCTCGCCATCTCAGCCATCCTTGCAATGCTCAATGCAGTGTATCGGGTGCCGCAGATGGCCGGGACTTGAAGCACGTTGGGCATCCAGTTGGTCACCGCCTGGTAGATACGATGGTACCTTCCACTGCCGT